CCCCCGGAACCTCCACCCCTGACTGCCCCCGCCGCCACATCCAATCCCTCCTCTCATTCCTGACTGCTCCCCAAGACCCCTGCACTCATTCAACCTCCCCACCCTCTGACCGCCCGACCCCTATCCACACATCCCGCCCCCTGACCACCACCTCGAACTCCCCTGCCCTCTATCCAACCCCCCTTGCTCCCTGCCTCCTTACCACACTACCTGGAGCATTGCGCCGGCGGCGCAGCACGCTGAGGCTGCGGGGGAGGGGCCGGGGTGAGCCTTCCGGGGCAGGAGCTCAGGGGCTGGGCAGGAGGGTCCCGCGGGCCGGATGTGGCCCGCGGGCCGTAGTTTGCCCACCTCTGCTTTAGAACTAGTAGATCTCATTCTCTTACACCTGATTTTTATCCAAAGATTGGAAGGAGAAAACAAACTTTCCTGATTTTTCAACTCCCAATTGGTTTAACTTCAACTGAACCAGTCACTGAACTGAACTAGTTGAATAAATTAAGATGAAGAAAATATTCTCTCTGCACCTGCGGAAAAGGCTATTGATGTTAAAAGCTGGTTCAGGCAGTTCAACAAAGTCTGGTTCCAGGCGCTCACACAGTGACTTTCACTGTTCAGTGGTAGCACTCCTTTAAGTCTGGCAGCAAACATGTACTGTTTAATTTTTTTTTTAAATGAAATTTTTAAAAATGAAATTTTAACCAAATTATAGTAAGCCCAGGCCTTAGCAGACGCTGTCAATTTCAAGTTTAATTATAAACCGGGTATCTTAAAATAAATCTGTATTCAATTAAAATTTTTAAAAATCGATTTTTAATTGATTTATATCCACTCTGGCAACAAAGAGTTAACAACAGTGCTGGAATCTGAACATTTTGATATCAGATTTTTTTGTACGGAATCCAAGGTTGCATTAACAGAGCTTTTCATTCTATTTCCTACATAACTTTTTAAGAGGAAATAAAGAGGATAGAAAGGAGGAAAAGGGGAGGAAAATGAAACTAATTCAGTTCTAGAACTTACAAGCTCCACCAGCAGATCTCATAAGCTCTCTGACTCCAGAGCTGTTCAGACTAGCTATAGTGTTCTTGTAGCTTTTTCAAATTAACAAATGAACATTTAACTTGTTACACACTGTGCAGTGTATCTTTATTTTATTCTGTACTAAAGGACATTTTCTACTGTGCACATAGAAATTTTTAAATAGTTGTACCTTTTTAAACCAAAAGTAATATTTTTCAAACCAAACAGTACCTTAATGACTACTTTCATGACAAGTTTCTAACATAAGCCATTTTTGCTGTAACATTGCTCAAAAAGCATGTTAAGAATTATTATTATTTTAAAGAGGGAAAAGTATTCTCACTCTCTGTACACTCCTGAGAAACATTAATGGAGGAATTTTCCTACAACATTCCAAAAATTATTTATGATCAGAGACTAAGCATAGGAAGTTTAACCCCAAAAGGCGAATTTTCAGAATGTTCTCATTCTGTCAATAGTGACTAAAAGTAGAAGCTGTTTTGCAACTCTTAACTATAATAGGCACTACTGATGTCCACTATTATATAAGCTAGATCAGATTTAAAAACTAGATAGACAGAAAAAAGCTGTACATTTTAACAAGTATGATTGTTACTTAGAACTACAAGATGCTATGTATACAATCTGCAGGAAACATAGCTATCAGTGGATACTGCTGAGGTGGGCAGCATAACCTTCTGAGGAATAGGGAAATAAAAAAAAAAAAAAAGAGTGAAGAGTGGGGGGAGGGAGAGGAAAGAAAGACAGGAGAAGTGAGAAATGGTCTCAAGTAAATAGGATGAAATTCAATGAGGACAAATGAAAAGTGCTCCACTTAGGAAGGAACAATCAGTTGCACACATACAAAATGGGAAATGACTGCTTAGGAAGGAGTACTGCATAAAGGGATGTGGGGATCATAGTGGATCACAAGCTAAATATTAGTCAACAGTGTAACACTGCTTTTTTTGCAACAAACATCATTCTGGGATATATTAGCAGAAGTGCTGTAAGCAAGATGCGAGAAGGAATTCTTCTGCTCTACTCCACACTGATTAGGCCTCAACTGGAGTATTGTGTCCAATTCTGGGAGCCTCATTTCAGGAAAGATGTGCACCAATTGGAGAAAGTCCAGAGAAGAGCAATAAAAATGTTTAAAGATCTAGAAACAGGGCCGGCTCTGGCTTTTTTGCCGCCCCAAGCAAAAAAAAAAAAAATCAGGGTGGCCTTCATCAGTGTTTGGGGTGACCCCATTCAGCACCCTGCTTTTACATCTGAAGCATCAAATTCAAAGTTGGGGCTGTCAATGACTTTGGCACCAGGGATGGTGACACAGGTGCCAGAGTTGACACTGGAGCCAGGTGTGCCACCTTTGGTGCTATTTTCTCTGCAGAGATCATCAGAACTGCCTGTGTGCTAGATGGAGCACTGGAAGATATAGACTTGACCGTTAGATGGGTCCTTGGAGCTCGGGTCTTCTGGATCCAATGCCACTCAGATTGCTCCAGAAGATGAATCTTCAGCATTGCATTTCTTGAATTGTGGGTTTTTGCAGAGAAGAAAAGGCAAACTGAGAACCTGCTTGGGATGTGAGACTTTCTGAAACAGAACAGATATCTTCTATCTTAGTGGAATTTGCCCATTGCAGGATGGACAAGTACAGGCAACCTTAATTCTGACATCTCTTAACTTTGAGTCCTTGGCTTTGCAAGCTTAATAACGTTCTTTTCAGATGCTCTTGCTGGGATTTACATAAACAAATCCCAGCAAGAGCACATATAATTTGTTACTAATTACTACCACTTTCCACATTGCACAGAAAAGCAGAAGACATTTATAAACTCACTGACCTTTAAGAATTCTC